AGATAAAAACTGATGTGAAATATATATAGCAATTTTATTCACAGTGGCTAAAACTCATATAGGATCAATTTGTTCTTCTATAGTTAACCAGATAACCAAATATTCAAACTGGGTAGAGACCCTGGAGGAAAACAGGAGATGCAGACACATGGAACGCATGGGGTATGGGTATTGGGCATGGGGACACAGAGAAAATCCCGGCTGCAGTCAGAGGTGTTCTAGAAACCTAAGTACTATAGTGGGTTCAAGCAAAGAGCAGAGAGGTATATAAAGGTTGCCATGAGCTGGAAGCACAGGCAATGAAGTTACTCCAGGGTAGTAGAAAGATCATTCTGGAGAAGGGAATCAACTGAGGGAAGACCTTGGCTTCATGTAAGAGGGGCTGGAGGACATGATGATTGGCATGGTACAGGGAGACACTTAATTGCTGGAGACACAGGGGATGGAGTCTCATGTAGCTGGCACAAGAAATAGGGAATGTTGAAAGCTGACATGAATGTCAGAGATTTTACAAATGACAACATACTAAGGGTGAACAGGGGTAACAGTCAAATGAGAGATGGAAACTGGAGAACATACATGGGTTTTAGACATAGGAGTGGAGAGACATGAAGTCCCGATGTGGTTGCAGGCACATGGGGATGGAGATACTAGGGCAGACAGGACCTGCACACACAGGGTTTGGAAATGTGAGAAAATTAAGGGATTGCAGAAAAATCAGTGCTGAGAGAAAATCTGCATCCTTAAGTGCGTATGTTAGGACACCACAAACAAATCATCCCAGTTTCCTTCTTAAGAAGTTAAAAAGAAAGCGCTTGAAGAATAATTAAATAAAGTCAGGAAAAGGGTAATAGCAAACATCAATAAAATGCTGGTTTCACAAAAGTATTACAGAAACATAGAAGAAAGGAAAAACTATTTAAAAATATTAAGAAATTGTATTCCTCTTTTAAATACATGGGATCATACAATATGAATATGCACTCTTTTGTCATAATCTTCTTTAATTATCCAGGAAATGAATGCATATTTTGCATGTTGGAGTTTGTTCCATTTCACTATTTTTTAAGCAGTTCTCAAAGTATTACACAATGACTCCTCAGATTCTTTGCATCTTTCTTGAGTGTATACAAGGTCTAAACCTTTTCATAGTAAACTAAGATGCTATTTAACTTTTTCACTGTCAGTCATTCTTGAATGTTAGGGAGTTTTCCAGAAACTACATGATGTGAAGCTGCTTATGTAAACCTGTTGTTAAAATGTCTCAATTTTACTTTATCACTTTTAGTATTTTTTTTGTTCTACTTAATACTATTGGTTGAACTCTTTAATTAACACACAATTATTCTTAGGTGTTTAAATTTAACTGAAAAGTGATCCCTGTTAAATATAAGAGTGGGAATAAGAGAGGGAGGAGAGGTACAATTTGGGACATGCTCAATCGGACTTGCCCCAAACGGTAGAGTTAGAAACATACCAGAGGATTCCAATTCAATCCCATCAAGGTGGCATGTACCAATGCCATCTCACTAGTCCAAGTGATCAGTTTCAGTTCATAATCAGTTCAAATCATAATGATAGTATTAAGACTCAAATGGATCACACAAACAAGACTAGTGTCTGCTAATACTAACTGATCGAATTAAAAAGGAGAGAACGATCCAACATGGGAAGCAGGATACACAGCAGACTCATAATGGCAGATGCCCTAAACAGCACTCTGGCCTCAGAATTAGCACTTAAGGCATTTGGATCTGGCTAAAAGCCCATGAGAGTATTTCAGACATGGAAAGCCAAGACACTGTGGTAAAAAAAAAAAATGACCTAAATGAAAGATTTCTGTGAGTGAGATCCCAGTGGAAAGAACGGGCCATCAAAGAAGGAGGTACCTTTCTCTGAAGGGAGGAGAGAACTTCCACTTTGACTAGGACTTTGTCTAAATAAGATCTGAATTGGCGAACTCAAAAGGCTTCCATAGCCTTGGAAACTCATGACAAGAGCCTTGGGTGATTACTGATGCCATAAAAAAGACTGTCAATTGTTAAATCAACAACAGGAGTCACTGTGCACTTACTCCCCATGTAGGATCTCTGTCCTTAATGTGCTGTACTATGTGAATTAATGGCATAACTAGTACTCAAACAGTACTTTACACTTTGTGTTTCTGTGTGGGTGCAAACTGTTGAAATCTTTACTTAGTATATACTAAATTGATCTTCTGTATATAAAGATAATTGAAAATGAAACTTGATGTGAATGGGATGGGAGAGGGAGCGGGAGATGGGAGGGTTGTGGGTGGAAGGGAGGTTGGGGGGGGGGGAAGCCACTGTAATCTAAAAGCTGTACTTTGGAAATTTATATTTATTAAGTAAAAGTTTATAAAAAAGTTAAAAAAGAAATTAAAACAGTGCTGTTCTTTTTTATTTAATTTAATTTTATTTTTTTGACAAGCAGAGTGGACAGTGAGAGAGAGACAGAGAGAAAGGTCTTCCTTTTTCTGTTGCTTCACCCACCATGGCCGCTGTGGCCGGCGCGTTGCAGCGGTGCACCGTGCTGATCTGAAGCCAGGAGCCAGGTGCTTCCTCCTGGTCTCCCACAGGGGTGCAGGGCCCAAGGACCTGGGCCATCCTCCACTGCTATCCCAGGCCACAGCAGAGAGCTGGACTGGAAGAGGAGCAACTGGGACAGAACCAGTGCCCCAACCAGGACTAGAACCCCAGGGGCCGGCGCCGCAGGTGGAGGATTAACCTAGTGAGCCATGGCGCCAGCCAACAGTGCTATTCTTTACAGAGCTTATAGAACTCACCAAGATATTAAGATTTTGTGAAATTCTTATGAGTAAAAACTTGACTCCAAAGAGGCAACTGGTAGAATGGGAGAAAACATTTCCAAACTATGTAACTGATAAACTCAACAACAACAAAACAAAAAATCTTGTAAGAAATGGTTCAAAGGACTTGAACAGACATTTTTTCAAAAGATGAAATTCAAATGGCCAACAGACACAAGAAGAAATAATTCTGATCACTAGCCATCAGGGAACTGCAAATAGAAACCACCATGAGGTTTCACCTCACCACAGTTAGGACCCCCTTCATACAGCAACCAAAACAACACATACTGGTGGGGATGTGGGGATATTACCCTAATACACTGTTGGTGGGAATGTAAACTAGGACAGCTGTTGTGGAAAACAGTATGGAGATTCCTCAGAAATTTGAAAATCGATCTACTATATGACCCAGCCATCCCACTCCTGAGATTTACCCAAATGAAGTAAAATCAGCATATGAAAGTTATCTGTACCTCCATGTTTATTGCAGCTCAATTCACAATAGCTAAGAGATGGAATCAGCCTAGATGTACATCAACTGAAAATGTGTTAAACATACACACTATGAACTACTACTCAGCCATAAAAATAATGGAATTATGTCCTTTGTATTAAAATGGATACAACTGGAACTCATTATACTTAGTGAGAAAGGCCAGTCCTCAAAGACAAATGTTATGTTTTCCCTGATCTGTGATAATTAATAGAATACAAAAAAGTAATACATATGAATGAAATTGATGTTTTGATATCTGATTATTGTCTACAACCCTTATATCTGCTGTTGAGGAATAGGCTTTTTTTCTTACTATTTGTTGAATTTTGTACTTAGTGGCAGGATAATTTCATGAATATAAAATGAACTGAAAATGTGTCATTGTAAAAAGAAAGACTACAATATTAAGCAGGAGGGAGGATGGCAGCATGAGCAGGAGAGGTGGTAGGGTGGGAAGTAGTACACTATGCTCCTAAGTCTGTATATATGAAATACATGAAATTTATTCACCTTATATAACTAAAAATTATCTAAAAATTGACTTCAGAGTTCAAAATCTGCTACATTTTGATATCCAATTTCCAAAAACACAACTATAAGATGAAATAGGAAAATTCCTATATAATTTAATAAGTTGAACCAATTTTTGGAACTCCAAACCAACCAATCAAGAAAAATGTCCCACAAGCAAAAATCTGGATCCAGACTTATGGAACATTATACACTTCTATGAGAAAAAACACTGAATTTCCCTAACTTGTTCCAAGTGGACATACCCAGAATATTTTGAATCTCTTTTGGGAAGCCAGTGTTACACATATGATGCAAGTGAGACCAGGGTATGCAATGAAAATGAAATACAAAAATGTCTTTCATAAACTGAGGTACATATATTCTAAGCAAAATATGATTATATGAATTTAATCACATATGAAAGCATAACAGATCAATATCAAGCAAGGTACATTAAAAGTGAAAAATTTTTAGCATTCTCAAACTCTGTAAATCATCCATGTAGGTGAAAAATATAAGGAAATTACATGGCCATTTAGATTAAATATTAAAAAGCATTTAATAAAATTCAATATCCAACCATAAGAAAATCAACTTTTAGCAGAATAGGAGAACACAGTGACTTCCTTCTTGTGATCAAGATAGTCTAAAATGGACCACAGCACACTACTTAATACAGGATCCGTGAAAGCCTTCTCCCTAGGAACAGACCCGGACATGACTGCCTTCTCTCCCCTCCCTCTTCAACACTAATGGGAGGAATGGTCAGGGAAATCAAACAACAAAAAGAAGCATAAATTTAAATATCAACTTTTAAGCAATAAAACTCAATATATGTGGATGACACCATTATAGGGAGAGAATCCAATCTAACTCCAAGCCAAATACAACCGGATTTAGCAAGATTACCAGGTAGACAATCATTATGAGTCACAGCAAGAAACAAACAGAAAACATTAAAGGACAAAAGGCTAACTAGCAAACACGCATCTACGAGAGAAATTTAAATTATGTAATATCTTTAAACATTATTCAAACGCATTTTAAGTACACACGAACGCACACAAAGGACACAACAGAGAAATGACTCCAGAGCATGGAGAAAGCAAAGACCCAGAAGTCAATGAAATGCCAGTAAGCCAGTAAGTTCTATCCCACCTGAATGCGGTATAGATCACCAGACTGCACAGGAACACGGAGGTGATGGTGCCGGCCGCTGGGGAATCGGCAGTAGCCCCAGGTCCTCACTCCCCTCACCTGGCAACAGTCCCCCACGCCCACTATGCCAGCAAGCATGCTGATTGGCTACCGCTTTATGACGTCATCCATGCCCACCCGCTTTGCAAGCTGTCCAACCAGGCACCCCTCAAGGGAGGGGCAACCACGTAATCTCGTGAGATTGTCACGTCACAGTCTCTTCCAGGCTGCACTGGGAGAAATGTCCGTGTGGTAGCTTAGCTTTCTCCCCTCTGCAAAGAGGAAGCCGGACACTTGAAAAGCAGGAAATGCAGTATGCTTAGGGCCAGGTGTCTGAGAAGGGGGAGGTGGAAAAGTTAGATCCTGCTTGAACTGAGTGTGGAGGGACTTGGACTTCCCCACGGTGAGCTCTTGCATCTGCAGACTCCACCAGGTGAAGGCTGGGCTGGCTCCAGAATATGGGTGACATACCCTGTCCCTGCACAGTGACCCTGGCTTAGCACCAGAGCCGTCTCTTCCGAGTGGCTGTAGTGCCACCTCTCCTCAGGTTGTGCAGTGAGGACAGGAGGGTGATCAGGGAGAATCTGGACTCGGAGTACAGGGTTCATGCATGGAGGAGCTGTGGTCTGTTGGGGGTGCCCGGTCCCTCCTTTCTCCCCATCGGCATACAGTACCACAAACTCTGTAAATCAGAGAAGAAACAGCTTTGACTCAGCTTTTCGGTCCAAAGATTGGGAAGGGCACCTGATGATGAACTTGTTGGCAGAGTTCCGAGGCAGCTGCAGGCATCACCAGGGCGCTTGAATGTTTATTTGGTGAAGTTTCACAAAAGAGGAAATCAGAGAACGTCTCCCTGACACTCCAGTGCAAAATATCCTTGGGCCTGTCTTCATTTTGCATTCCTTAAATGCAGCCATTGGCTTGACCTTACCTTTGCAAACTGCAGGGTGATGTCACCTCCACTCACCCTCCTCCCTTTTCCTCTCCTAATTTTTAAAACTGACTGAGGGTGATGTTCCAAGAAGTCCCCCGTGGCCAAGGCTCCAGGAGTGTCTAGTGGATGTCACTCCCTGGGTCTCATCCTGCCCCTGAAGCTTCTCTTAGGACTGGGTGAAAATTCTGGGTACACCTGTCATCTGTATGGCTAAGCCCTTGGGACATTAAGGTTTTCCTCTCACTGCAGTTTCTATCTGGGAGACATATTAATAGTCAACTACATAGATGCTGGTATCTGGGTACAAGACAGAAATGATTCTCTGATACTTCTAAAGGGAGAAAGGTTGTCACAGAAGTCAGGGCAAACCCACCCTAGCTAAGCAGTGCCAGATCTGAAAAGCAAATGCACTTTGGTGGACACACAGCAGTTTGTTTTTTCTTCCAGGGAATTGGTTGTAGTTAGACTGCAAGTGAGATTGTCTGGGAAGGCAAGACTCTGCCTGTGGAGAAAAGCTTAGAGATTTGAGAATTTGCATCTGTTGAATGATAAAAATATATGTTTGATATTTGCCCACATTTTCTGGTTCATAGATCTTAAGTGTTGCATTTTAATACGTGTTTTGTGACTTTATTTTAATGAGAAGATAAATTAAAATATCTCTCGGCATTCATGAATCCAATGAACTTTACACTCCACTTGATAATTTAAGAATTTTGACATTGACAGTATTGCTATGTATCTTCAATTTTGTTTTCACCTGTGAATTTTACTTTTCACCCTCACATAGTCACAATGTTTGTCATGATCATTATTTTTTATTGTGCTGTGATGCCAAAAATTTTAAAAAATACTTTTATGAGGCCACTTTCCCAAAGACCATCAGTATGATAGCTGTTGTCTAAAGAGTAAATATTTTGAGTAATAAATATGATTGCAGACCAGAAATGATTGTGTAGTATGTCACACAGAGGCTACTCAAGAGAGTTTCTGAATGGATTTGGGCCCATTTCACATATATTGATTATTGTTCAAGGAAGAAAGATGCTTCTCTGTATTGGCTATCTTGAGGAAGTTTATTTGGCCCTTGGTAATCCTAATAGTTCTTATTTGGGATGCAGAGAGAATGCAGTAGAGCTAAAGCTAATTCTTATGGAGGACCAGTTAGTTATGGTAGTAACAAGAGGGACATAATGGGCATTTTCGTGTGTTCCTTTACCATTTATTTATTACTTGAAAATCAATTACAGACAGAGAAAGGAAGAGAGAGGAAGAGAGAGGGAGAAAGGCACACACACACACACACACACACAGAGAACTGCTATTCAATGTTTTACTCCCCAATGGCCGCAGTGGCCAGCGTTGTGCCAAACTAAAGCCAAGAAACAGGAGCCAGGAGGTTCTCCCAGGTCTCTCACATGGGTGGCAGTAACCAAGCATGTGAGACATCTTCCACTACTTTTCCCATGTTATTAACAGGGAACTGGATCAAAGCAGAGTCACACACACACAGAGATGTATTACACAATGGCTTTTTTGTCTTGATTTAACATAGTCACTGAGAAGTGTTGTCTGGTGTCGAGAGTGTGTGACATACACATGACATATTCATACATCTCTTCAACAGCGTAAGTCTAGGCCTTTTATTGAGGTGAGGCCAGCTCCAGTCTTCAGGTCTTATTTTGCCTTTCTTAATAGTTAGCTAAACACAGAAAGATTTCCTGTTCTGTATTGTATTCTGTTTTCCATGAAGTACTCCAGTTAAAATAAATACTCATGCTCTTTAGAAAAATATGTTGGAGGCAGCACTGTGGCATAGCAGATAAAGTTGCCACCTGCAGCGCCAGCATCCCATATGGGTGCCAGTTCAAAACCTAGCTGCTCCACTTCCAATCCAGCTTTCTGCTATGCCCTGGGAAAGCAGTGGAAGATGGCCCAGGTACTTGGGCCCCTGCACACATGGGAGAGACCCAGAAGAATCTCCTGGTTGTTGGCTTCAGATGGGTGCAGCTCCAGACATTGCGACCAGTTGGGGAGTGAACTAGTGGATAGAAGTCCTCTCTGCCTCTGCTTCTATCTCTGAGTAATGCTGACTTTCAAATAAATAAATAAATTCTTTAAAAAGGAAAATTATGTAACATTTTATTAAAAAATCACCTTTATAATTCACATGAAGCCCAAACATTGGAGAAAATTTCCAGAATGTAATCCAGCAAAAATCAAATGTGATCATTATTCCAATCAGGTCTTTGTGGTTTAGGAAATAGGTTCTTGATGCTAATTTGTTAACATTCCCTCATATTCCAGAATTGTAAACTGAAGTTGTAGGAACACAAAGAATCCAAGCACTAGCCATAGATATAGAAATATATAAAAGAAAAAAAACACTTGAAATCCAGTGCTTCTACTTTTGATAAAAGAGGAATAGGCAACAAATAGTAACAGTTATTTTATATGTTGGAAATAAGTATTTTGAGGGAATGTAAATGATGGTGTCTGTGCTCATAAGGAAGCCTGAGTGTGTTATTTTCCCTGTGGAAAGTGCAGGTGTCAGAAGTATGTCATAATTGATTACCTATTTCCAATTTAAAACGTAGGTTCAGAACCTGCTCCTATGTGAGTGTAGATGGTTGAGAAATATAGACAGTCCTGCCTTCTTGATTCCCCATGAAGATAAAGATACAAGTATCATTCATCATCTTGTGTGCAATGGTTAAATATTTCAGTGTGTGCAGTGTGTGATCTTAATTGTGAATGTACTTGCTGGGCTTTTGCTTCTGTTCAATGAGATGTGAAAAGTTTTTGAAGTTCATTTTATATATTTTGTTAACATTTGAACCACTTGAATCAGGTTTGCTGTTATTTCTTCACAAAAGCATCATCACCAACAGTAATGCTTTCTTAGTAGATTCCCCAGACCTTTTCTTTCTTGCAAACATCTTGGGTCCTGAATAACCTTGTGTTTTATAGACTCTGGATTTATAAGTTCTGCTATCTCTGGGCTGTTCTTTGTGAAATTTCTATTTCCTCATATTGCTCTTGCTTACATGTTACAGTGAGACCCCATTTACCAGGGCCACAGTAACAGATGAGGAACAGAATGTAAGAGCTAAGATAAGGGAATCAGATGTGCTCTTTTGAACAGGGGTGCCCTCCTGCAGAGCTGTGTACTTGGAAGTCTGAGTAGCTTCACAAGATTTGGTTTATTGGATGCTCTTTTTTTGTGAGTACTTTGTTAATGTTTTTAGAGTCTTAGACTTTGATTAATGATTGAATAACTTCCTGCAAGGTATGTTGTAGGGAAAGTCACATCTCCCAAAGGAGGAGATGTCACCACATTGTTGATTGCAATCTTCACCTGAGAGAGCCATTTGTCATGGAAAGGAATTATGAGTAATTCTGATAACATCAGACTAAATGCTCTTTAGAAAACAATTAGATATTTTCTAATTGCTCTCATATTCCTGTCCCTGGTTTGACTGAGGAGATGGGAGAGAGAAACACACCTCCTCTGCAACACCAAGCACAGGCCTCTCACTCCTTTGCTGAAGCAGCTATGATTCCCAAGCTTCCTACAAATACAGATACCATTTTTCTCCTTCATCTCCCTCTTTTTTCCTTTCTCATTCTAGAGACAATTTTCTTATTGGAAACATCTATCTATTTTTAAACTTTTCATGATGAAAAATCAATGAATTGACTGCAAACTCATCCAATCAAATTTTTATTCATACTTACCTTGGATTAACATGTAACTATGGAATCAACACCAAACTTAAATTATCTGTCTACCATCTTTTCTATTTCATGTTTCATGAATCTGGCCTTTTGTGAAAAAGCTATTTGTAGATTTCCAAGCCATATGATCAAAACATTAGCTGCCTTCTCTCTCCAAGGAAAATGAGTACATTTAGACTAAGTTGTCTCACATATTTTCTTGGATGTTTGTTCTTTTGTCTAAGTATCCTCCTGGTGTATTAGAATCTCATCTACTTATCAAAACATGTTCTTTGTATCACTAGATAAAAGAGCAAGAATGAGAAACATTTTCTCATGTAGTTACATTTAGAGGTCTCATCCAGACAATAACTTATGGGTGCTGTGATCTTAAAGGCTTGTGACAGGAAAATCAAGATTAGAAAGGAATGTTGAGTTTATAAAGGAATGCATGAAGCAAGAGCTAAATGCAGCTCTGAAACACATGGAAATGGGGCTACTACACAGAGAGGTTTAAGGACTTTCCCAAGATCATACAGCTGGTAAGTGGTAGAGGAGGAATTTAAGATGCATTTTTCATGACCTTGATAATCTAGTTGTTTAAACACAAGGATAGTAATTGCAAAGATTCACTGAGTACATCCTATGAGCCAGTGTGCAGTGACTTGGCAACCATGTCCCTTACTTCACACTGAAATTACCCAGATCCTATGTGTCTATGCAGTGTAGTAGCTCAAAACCGTTAGCATAAATGTACCCTAGATGAGACTAAAACATGAGATTTTGACAGAAGTAAGATTAGGGTTGTTGTCTGCATGGTGAGGAGAAGACTTGCCCTGTGGAAATTTTAATGAGAACATCTGCCCTGTGTAGATTCTGCCTCTGTTGCACATCGTAGGGCTCATCATCTGCAGGGGTAGCAAAAGCTGGATCCTTCCTTCCCCTTTTCAATAACAGATTCCTTGATTCCTCAGTTGAGCACACCTGTTGTCATAGTGTGTGACTTCTAAGAAATGTTCTTTGAAAATATTTACTTACTTATTTATTTATTTAAGAGGCAGAGAGAGGGAGACAGGTAGACATGGAGAAATCTCCCATCTGCTGATTCACTCTTCAAATATCTGCAACAGCCAGTACTGGGCTGGGCCCAAGTCAGGGGCCAGGAACCCAATCCAGGTCTCCCAAAAGGGTGGCAGGGACCCAATTACTTGGGTCACCACTGCTGCTTCCCTGAGTGAATATTAGATGGAAGCTGGAATTGGAAATGGAAGCCAGGAATGAAAGCTGGGCACTCTGATATGGGACAAGACATCTTAACTGCTAGGCCAAAGGCTGAACTTAAGGAAATGTTCTTAAAGAGTAGGAACATGAACTTCTTATTTT